AAGGTGGCAGGTTCGAATCCAGCCCGGGCCTGCCAAACAACAATGATGGCTGCAACCAAAAAAATAGCCAGGCGTTGTGGTGGGCACCTGTGGTCCCAGCTACTTGGGAGGTGGAGGCAGGAGACTCGCTTGAGCCCAGGAGTTGGAGGTTGCTGTGCAAGATTTTTGTTATTGTTGTGGGCTATTTTTTTCCTGAAAAATATAATCTACCTGATCTTTGGGAGGAAAATCATTTTTCCTCAACCCTCATAAATTCATAGTTCAGACAGACTCCTGTAACAAAAGACAGATTAACAAGAGAAGAACAAACAAGTTATTTAGTAAGGTTTGCGGTGCAATCACCCAAGAGGAACCTCGGTGAAAAGTAACTCAAAGCAGTGGCTTAGAGCTCTGCTCTTTACGGCATCTTCACCCAAGAATAGTACATTTTTAAAGAAATGGCAGGAAAAGAAAACAGTTTCAGCTTCCAAAGGTGGGAAGCTGTGGGAAGTAAGCGTATGGGAGGAAACTAGCGGCTTGGGTTTATTTGCAGATTCCTCTGGTGCCTGCTCTGGGATGTTATTCTTCTCCAATAAAGAAGAATTTATATCCTGTCTTTACACAGAAAAATGGCCAGACAGAGTTTTTTCTCTGCTTGCTTCTTAATTGCTTTTAGCTCAAAAATAAATTTTATCCATCCCCAAAAGGAATATTTTGGGATGACATATTCCTTCACTATAGAAAATGACACAAGAAAATATAGAGTCTACTGACACGCTATTAGGCAAACATCCTTATACACAGAAGTGTCACTTAGGTCAAGAAAGAGGACTGTGTCTTCCATTCCCAGAATTCTTTCAGCACTTTATTTTCTGGCACTGCAAGATATCCAGCTCATCTTTATTTTCCTGGAATCAACTACTTCTCCAAAACCCTCTGGTTCATTTGACTGGAAAAAACAGTACTTACAGAGTGAGATCTGGGCAATAATTGTGCACATCATGGGGTGTCATTCTTTCTCTGTTTCTCAAACAAAATATACTTTAAAAAATAGTTTTAAAGTGGGTGGCACCTGTGGCTCCAGGGGTGGCAAGTTCAAGCCTGGCCCCAGCCAAAACTGAAAAAAAAAAATAGTTTTAAAGTACTGAAGTGGTCTTTTCAGAGTTTTAGAGACATGTAATTTGAAGAATTATAAGCATGAACTACTGCAACTATGTAAAGATTTACAAATGGAAACTAAGCAATGAATAATATTCAATGGGGCATCAAGGCATGACATTGAACTAAAAACATTATAGTTGCTCCCATAAATTTTAGTATAGCCTCCTCTTCTGACGTTTGGTCTATATTTGTAGCAGTGGTTATCAGGCACATTTCCAAATCCTTTTTAGTTCTTTAGAAACTTTGTCCATATTAATTGGCAGTGGAGAATATACATTTTAAAAATTAAAATGTGTTAAAAGCTATTTAGTGTCCTTCATGTCACAATTGAAAGCCTGTCTAGGAATCATTTCTATAGAAAACAAGGTATTAGAACAAATAAGCACTGAAACCATTGTAAAGATGTCATTTCATGTACTCAAATCAATGTAAAGATGTCATTTTATGTGTTCAAGATATGAACTATTTTTATTAAAAATTATTAAATCCTAATGACTTAGAATGTGATATTGAATTACCAATTGTGACTAAGATTTGAGTCGTCTATTATTTTACGTTAAAAATTTGATTTACATAACAAAGAAAATGACTTCTACTGAAAGTTCTATTTTGTCCTCTGGGTATTCTTTGTTCTTATTTCTTGGATAAAATGCCTTATCTTTTAAAAAATATTTACAATTTTTTTTTTGAAGATTGGTTTTTCTGTGTGCATTGGTTTATTAGTTTTGGCTTTACACATTTAACTTGAAGGATTTCCTTAAGTGTTTGGTACTTTTTGGTTATTTGTTGGTATTCACAAGGAAGGCTGATTAGAAATAAGTGAATGGAGGTCTTGTTAACTGGTAAGTTTCACTGAAGAGTGACAGGGAGGGTGGTGATTTGCTGTGATTTTGGCAGCTGCCTAATTGTCATGACATTAGGATCTCTCTCTTGGGCACTCACTTTCTCTAGAGAAGGAGGTTCCAGTTTCTTGCCTGGGATACATATGTGTATGGGTGCTTCAGTTTTTGGAAAGTGAATTACAGGCAAGGGCCTTATTGTTCTGTATGTAAAAGTGCATCCATAAACAAAAACATCTTTTAGTAGTTTTCTTAAAGTCCCAGGGCAGTAAACCAGCTGATCAGAACTCTGTAACTTTCTGTTGCACTGGCACATTCTCTTCTGAATATTTTTTCTCCTGGAAACAGCGGAACCTCCTTAAAGCCGTGAGATAACTACAAAGACTTACACTTCCTCTTTGTTCAGAGAAGGCAAGATAAGTGACACACTACCACAGACAGTGCCCAAGGACCAGCTGAACAACCTACTTTCTGCATCCCACCTGTTCACAAGACTGAAAGTAGGGGACCTGTGGCCTTGGGACCAGACGTGGCCATCTGGACACTTGAGTGCCAATCCTTTTGACTGAATCCAACTTTTACAGAACAAATCCTTTTAATAATGGGAAGGGCCACACTCAGGGATCTGCAGGGCCATATGAGGGCTTGAGGCTGCAGATTCCCCACCCAACTCATTATGCTATTAAAGTCTCTGCCCTGGGAGAGACGAATCTACCAATTTTTAATTATGTGATGTATAAGCTAACATGACTTCTCACTGTGCTTGTGTGCCCTACTTTCTGTCCCAAATATGTAATGATACTCACTCATTTCATGCGTTAGTCAATTCACCCCTAGGAAAAGTCCTGACCCTGTTAGTCAGGAAGGGCAGTCTATTCCTCCCATCTCTGGGTTCACACATCCTCCACAATAAATCTCCTTTCTCCCTTGACCATCCTCATTGTCTCAGGAACTGGGGGGAGCAAACACACACACACACAAATGTGGTAACTTTGCATGTGTTAAAATACATGTAACATAAAATTTATTATTTTAATCATTTTTATGTATACACCTCAGTGGCATTAAGCATGTTCACATGATTGTACAACTGATCTCCAGAACTCTGTTCATCTTGCAGAACTGAATCGCAACACTGATTGAACACTAACTCCCAATTCTCCCCATCCCCATCCCTGGCAAGCACCCCTCAGCTGCTTCTTCCCTACGATTTTGCCAAGTCTAAGTACGTCCTGTAAGTAATATTTATTCTTTTGTGACTGCCTTATTCACTTAGCATTATGTTCTCCGGGTTTACCAATGTTGTAGCTTGTGTCGGAACTTCCTTCTTTTTAAAGGCTGAATAATATTTCTGTTTCTTTTTTTTTTTTTTTG